ATCTCTAAACCTTGTGAGCTGGAAAACATGAAATATGTGTGTGTTTGTGTGTGTGTGTATGGTGGTAGCCATCTTGGATTTTGATGTGGCAACCGAAATATCAAAAAGAACATTTCTGATGCATAGATGCAGCTACACACCAAAAAGGAAGTTGGCCCGTTGCTTATTTTTCATGTTTTCCAGCTCACAAGGTTTAGAAATATATGACTGTGGCCATCTTGGATTTTGACTTGACAACCCAATTTTCAAAAGGAACTTTTCTTAAATACAGATGCAACCAAACACCAAAATGGAAATCTGTACCTCTCTTATTTTCACATGATCATGCTCACAACCTGCATGGATGGACGTACAGAGGGTATGTCCATCAACCACTCTTCGCTTCTTTGTGTTCTGTTGAATTCTTGCTAACAGCTAATTTGCAGACCCCGTCCCTAGTTTGGGTTTAAAAACAAACCTTCTGATGCTACTAACTGAAAAGAGAATATTTCCAAAGCTTTCAGTAAAATTAACAATAGAGCAGAAAAAAAAAACAATAACTGAACAGAAGAAATTATTGACGTTACTTCAACAAGATGTCTCTTGAAGAACAATCAAAGCTAATGAAATTTTGATTTTAGTTTATTTCCAAATAAATGATTCATGGTGACTATTTAGAAATCAATGCCGCCCTCAGACACTCGATGCAGTGTTAAATACATAAAGTCTGTGTGCTAAAGTTGGACAGCCATCCCTTTTTGAAAGAGACATTAAATATTTTCACTTCTTACAATGGTTTAAAATTGTTTTTGACAACCATGCCCCAAGCTTGAATTACAGTACACATTCCAGTAGTTTTATACATTTTAATAATGGCTTTTACTTTATGTTTTTTCAACCTGCAATGACTTGCTGAATACGTTCAGGCTCAACCCATCTTTGCCCCGAAGGCACTCCTTAAGTTTTACATTTTTAATTTCGTACATCCAGCTAACCTTGCTTCAGTTGATTCAATTGCTTTAAATTTTAATCACCCTAATTATTCTCAACTTTCTTTTACCTTTTCACGGCAATTTCTTTTTTTTTTTTTAAATTATTTAATGACATACGATTTATGTGTATTTTTTTCATTTTAACGAATTGCCACTTCAAGAAAAAAAAGAAGGTTGAATGTCACATGCTAAATGGGATAGAGATGTCTGTGTGTGTGTGTGTGTGCGCAGATGGGGGTGTGCACCAGGGTCTAAGAGATGCATTGTAGTGCATCATTCTGCTCCACTTGCTGTACAGTAGCAGCCCAGGCAACAGAAACAGACAGAGGGGAGGATGTTCTTCACCGAAGGCACTGGCAGATCCGAGAGCGGCTTTCCAGTCGCTCCTGCTGCTGCCAACGCTCGTTTGCTTTTGATGTGTTCTAGATAACCCAGCTTTCCTGCTCTCATTAAACTTTCCATTGCTTTTCATTGCACTTTTTGACTGTCTCGTATTTTCATAAAATTCTTATTTTCATTGAAATTTAATTCACCGCCACCGAGATCGCATCTGCAGAGAGGAGAGGTCGGTGAGACGAAGAAAGAGGCGCGATTTCCTGGAGGTGCAGGAGTCTTCACGTTGAGAAAGTCAAAAAATATGTACTTATATATATATATATATATATATATATATATATATAGTCTGCATGTGAGTATTTCCACACGTGGGTGTGGCTGCGAGCTCTGCTGCCACTGCTGACATTTCTATCCCAAGTCTGAAGACTTGAGGGCTGAAGCAGAGTTTTTCCTTTTTTTTAAGTTCTTCAAAAAGGGGGAAGAGACTCTGCAGAGGCAGATAAGGGTGTCGTTTGTGTGAGCGTGTGAGTCTGAATGTGTGCATGCTTTTGCGAGGCTAAATATTTCACGGACGGCGCACACACACATACACACAGAGAACAGTAAATGGGGCAGAAGTGAAATGCTTTGAAGCATCGGGGTAATCCAGCGTAAACAGCAGCGGCAAGACAGACTCGAACTGGGCCGGTCCACGACTCCCAGATACCCAAGGTGAACACGAATGTACAGTACATGTATATTGACGGACACTGCTGTGTACAGTGATGGAGCAGGATATTAGAAAGATGCAAGGAGCCGACTAGAGAGGTTTTCTTGTTTTCACCTGGCTGAGCTGTGGGAATGTTTTGAAACCATCAGAAAGGCAGACATGCTCTGCCGATTGTTGTTGAGTTTGTCGTTCCTGACATGAATTTGCAGCTAAATCAGGCTTTAAGCTCACACGATGCCACATTCTGACCCTACATCCATAAATAGAGGGCAAATTAGACATTGTCATTGAGCATCACCGTCTCCTCTCTGCCCCAATTATTGCCGCTCTCACATTCTATTTCTCTCTCAATTTTTTTTTTCTAATTTTTGCTCCATCCTCCTTTTTTTTTTCTTTCTTTTCTATTTCTCGTTTTTCGTCTACCTGACAGACTGCCTTCCTCCTTCAGCGCACCCTGAAGCATCAAAGCCTCTCCACACCACCAACTTCATCATGGATAAATTGCCAATTTGGTATACATGAAACGAGTCCCCGGTTACCCAAACGAAATGACTGAGGAGGAGAAATGAAGTGTGAGAAGAGGGGAGAGAAACGGAGAAGAAAATAAATAAATAAAGGAGGGAGAGAATTCAATTATTTTTTGTCTCTATTAAGAACGCAGACCTCCTGCCCACTCTCCTCACTTGGCAATTAGTGGCATAGATAATTAACGAGGAGAGGGCAGCACCACACCACATCCCCTAATCACGCACGTTTCTATCTGACAGAGTAAAGGACTGTTGCTGTAATTTTGCTCCACATAACTAAGGCTAATTATATAATCGATCACTCCCAGCAACCCCCCGCCCCGCCACCGTCCTGCTGCTGTTGCACCCAAGGTGTGCGGGGGGAACATTTGGGATGGAGCCTGTGCCGAGTGCCGCGGTTTTCTTCATGTTTTCACTCTCTTCGGCTTCAGGAGACATAATGAATGCTGGACTGCTCTGATGTGACGGCACGGGATTATTGTTGAAAATTTATTTATATATTTGTGACGTGCGCGTGGATGTGTGTGCACGTGTGTCAGCTTGCATATAAGCCATGTTCTATGATGTGACATTGCTGACTGGTGCTGACGTTAAGACTTTTCAGGGGAGTGTGGAAAAAGAGCTTGTATCAGGAGAAAAGGAGCACAGTGTGTGAGTGTGAGCGACTCAGACAGAGAGCTCTGCAGTCTATCCACCACATATAGATGAGGATGCTGGGCCCCCTTTGATCCTCTGAATAGTGATTTTTGCTGACCAGAAACGTGCCTAAAAGACGTTAGCTTTCCCGTTAGCTTATGGAATGGACACAAACAAACATCAATACGAGCAGAGCAAAAAGGACAATTAGCGCCGAGCCACAAACACAAGCTGATGTTACGTGAACGGCACCGAGGCTGTGATCAAGCTGTCTGCAACAAAGCAGCCGTCATATTCAGTGTTTGTCTCTGTGGAACAGCGGGGGTTTCAGCAAACAGAGATGGATAACCTGTCATTAGCTTCCAGGCAAACCTGTTTACAATTTTGCAGACATAATGGCAAAATAGGTGAGCAGTTATTGATATTGATCAAGGCCTCTTGTCAGTGCCCGTGATTCTGAATGTTAAGAAAGGAGAACTTAAACAAACCCATTAAGGAGACTTATTCAACACCACAATTACAGAACCAAAACAAGCCTTTTTTTATTTTTATTTTTTTTTAAAGAAGACAGCCGTCCTCAAAGAGTTGGTTAATCACAGCATCAAATTAGGTTTTGGTGCTGCTGCATCTTGATACACAAAAACAAACAGAAGCATGGCTCGGCAAAATGCATGCTTAGCATTAAACAAATTAAAAAAGACACAAACACACACGTGGGACAATGGTGAAGCAAAGTAATCAACCAAAGCAGGAAGAGGAAATACCTGTGTGAAAAACCTGCAGGACCTTTCTCTCTTCTGAAGCTGCAAATTCAAACAGTTCATCTGTTAGCAATGTAACACCTTTCATTTACACACACACTCACACACACACACACACACACACACACACACTGAGTGTACTGTAATCCCTCTCCCACTTCTTTTTTCCACATGGACTCAGTCCCTGCATCTACTGTCAAGTGAATTTATGGCATTAATTACAAAGTCACTCGTTCGTGCTTCAATTTCCCCAAAGAATATACATTTATACGTTGTTACATCGCTCAATTAGATAAATATAATTAGGATTTTATTAGAATCAGAAGGGGTGTTTTGAGACCTTTTTCATGGTGGACAGTAAGAAAAAATTGCATGTCTTTTCTCTTGGGCAGTAGCACAATACAGATTACAATAACTGGTTCTGCCTAATCTTTGTCCAGATTGTTTTAATTCAGCTTTGTTTATGAATAGATGAGTTGTAAATTTTATTGTGAAGCTAAAAACGGTAAATGTGAAATGGAGGAAATTAATTAGACAGCAGTCTTGTCCAGGTCAAAACTTTGTCAAAAGGATGTTTTATTGTTGTTTCTAAAAATCTTATAGTTAACAGCACAGTTTTTAGAAATGTCCTTATCCACACAGAAACCCAAAACGACAAGAGACCCTGTACTAACTGTGCCAGATCTGTTTGTCATTTTGTAATGTTGCAACACAACAAACAGAAAACAAGGTGTGGCGTATGCACAAAGATTTGACGTTTGGAGCGAAATATAAACATGGAAACAACTAAAACATGGTTTAATGGCTGAAACAATTAAAAAAAAGTTTGCATACAGTAGTCCCTCGCTACTTCGCGGTTCGTTCATCGCGGACTCGCTCTATCGCAGTTTTTCAAAATAAGACTGGACATGACACACAATTGGCTGATTGATGGATGAGCCGCATGTTTAGCATGACATTTTTATTTAAATCAAATTATTTTAAATTATTTAGCACCTGCTGCACATTTGTGCAGCCCATACGGCAGCTGATCAGCTGATCTCTGTGCAGAGCGGAGAAGTGGGCGTGGCCAAGAACTCTTGCAGGTGGCAAAGAGCAGAGGAGGCAGGGAGTTGAAATCATGACATTCTGTGCTCTTTTAGAGCTTTTAGAGTTTAGAAACATTGTTTAGAATATTGCAAGAATGTGGGAATGGTTATATATATATTTATATATTAAAATAAACTACTACTTACTACTTGTACTACTATTCCTACTTCGTGGTTTTTCACTTATCACGAGTCTTCAGGGTATGGATTCCCTGCGATAAACGATGGACTACTGTAATTAAAAAAAAACTGTTCCATGTGAATCTGCCACTGCTAACTTCATTAGAGACACTTAGGGTAAAGTCCATCACCATCATGGGAGAAATCAACATTTCAGGATTTATTTGTCCCTAAAACATCAGTTGATGATTCCTCCTGACATCCTGGATGCTTTATGGGTAACTTGCTATTCAAAATAACTAACAGATTCCTCATCCACTCACCGGCTAAGTACATTTTAAAACTCACAGCCCTTTTCCGAACAGCTTATATGTTGTTTGAGATGATTCTGTGTAACAAACAATCATTCGAGGAAGGTTCACCCATCAGAGAGTCGTGAGCTGTCTGACAAACTTCTGCCAAATATCCACTTGAACACAGTTTCATTTAACGTAATTCTGCAGCGAGACTCCATCCTGATTGTCAACAATGTCTAAAAAGCAACAGCTGAAAAAAACCAGAGTTCATCAAATGATTGATGACGTAAAATCTGTCCATGGGTCACTGCTGTCTACTATAATATTAACTGAAATCGAGTTTTATTAAATTTTGTTCTTGATTTGAAAAGAGTGGACCGACCCTGCCAAAGACTAAAAGCAGTTATCTATCTCCAGCAAGGGAAAACTTGTTACAAAGAGCCACACACAGAGGAGGATGAAAAAGGAAAATCTAAAAGCAGCTATTTATCATGTGGAAATCTACATTGTTATCTTTGCTTCTTCATCAAACTCTGCACAAAGACTTGTTTTAACCCCTGAGATGGAGTGTAAGACAGAAACAAAGGAACATACTATTTATCTTGTGTTAACTCGAAGCCTGTGAATACTGATGTAGAGGAGTCTGCTTCACTCTCCCACTCTTTATGTATTTCAGCTCCTTTAGGCAGCAGTACCTTAGTGAGGCTGCGGGCTGCGCTGTCTTTGCCTCCAGGGGTGAGGTTCCTGAGCTGGACATCCAACAGTTCCACTAGTTGGGCCATGGCTCGCACTGTGGATGGCACATCGCCAGGACGTAGAAGACCTTTGGTCTGCTCTGCCAGCTCCCTGGCTACAATCGCTGCCGTCTCGCCTGAGCGAAGCTGCAAGCAAAAGAGGATGGCAGCGGAGGAGGAAGGCACAGAGCAACACAAAGATGGATGGAGGTTTGAGAAAGAAAAAAGTTGGACAAGGTGAGAAGTAAAAGGAAAGTTTGCAAAAAGAGAAAAAGTTTTGTGTGAGTGTCAAGTGAGATAGCAAGAGAGAACAAAATGACAGATGGAGTAATGACAGGATGGAAGGAGAGAACGAGAGAGTAAAAAATGATAAATGGAGGTAGAGGGTGGGAGGGCATGAAGATATAAAAAGAATGTGAATCTTAAACGCATTGTTCAGTAAATTGTGAATTGTTTAAACCAGAAATAATTGGAAAACCATTTTAAACTCCTGCATCTCAACTGAAATGCTGATTTTACTGGACGTCCTGTCAGTTTTGACCTCATAAGGATAAAATGTTAGCATGAAAACAATAAAAAGTGTTATTTCACACTTTTAAAAACAACATAGAACAGCTTAACAAGGCAATACAATCTGCAGGAACAAAAAACAAACAAACAAATTGTTGACCTTGAACAACTTGAATCTAGTTGACCTTTTTCTATGGCAGTCACCGAGTCAACACCACCACATGCTGTCAGACTAAATTGTTTGAATTTTTAGCAGTGCTTTTACACATGCATACACATACAGTTGATCATGTACATACATATAGTTCTGCTGTCTTGAGCTGCCTTTTATCACCACTGGAAGGTCCTTTCAGTGAAAAGAATGTCCATCCATCCATCCATCCATCCATCCATTATCTTTACCCGCTTATTCCATTTTGGGTCACGGGGGTCGCCGGTGCCCATGTCCAGCAATCACTGTGCGAGGGGCGGGTACACCCTGGATGGGTCTCAAGTCCATCGCAAGGCCACATAGAGACAAACAACCATTCACTTTCTCACTCACACCTAGGGACAATTTAGAGTTACCAATCAGTCTAACATGCACATTTTTGGACTGTGGGAGGAAACGAGCACCCGGAGATAAACCACGCATGCACGGAGAGAACATGCAAACTCCACCCAGAAAGGCCCCTGGACTGGGGTGTGAACCAAGGACCTGCTCGCTGAGACGCAGCAGCTTTACCAGTTGCGCCACCGTGCTGCCAGGAAAGAATGTCTTTTTTATTTATTCCCTGCATTTTTTTCATGCATGTACCTCTTTGCAGGTCTATTTTTCTCTAAACTGGGAAACCAGTCCTCAGAAATGACTATACATAATAAAGAACCTGGGTCACTTTAAACTAGTCACAGTAACTACATGAAAATGTGTGAATAAATGTATAATAATAATAATAGTAATAAAAATAATAAAAATGTGTATGCATGTATGCATGCATGTAAGTACATACATATGCTTTTATGCATATATGCATGAATGCATGCATGTACGTACATATATATGTATATATGTATGTATGTATGCATGCATAAGCTTTGCATGCGTACATATGCATGCATGCGTATTTACAAAGTATGTATGTATGTATTAGTCAAAATCAAAATCTGTTTTCAGATGTGGGGTTAAAGACCAATTGCCCAGGTAACAGAAGGTGCTTCCACACTGGAGCCCTGAAAGAGCAATAGGTAGAATAACAGGCATCTAGGAACCCAAGAATATGGAACAACACTCCTTATACCTTATAAATACTTCTTCAACATGGTCACAGTTTGTCTTTTTCTGTGGGCTTCTTCAGGACCAGGACTGAGGACCTCACTAAACCATTCAGTTGGTAGTAGCAACAAACCAGGCTCACAGTTTGCTACGGGAATTGCAGTTATTCATTTATGTATTGGGTCTCTTTTTAACATCAACCCGCATGATGGTTTCTACAGCCTATTGTTGAACTTGAGACAATCATTTTGTTGATTTTAGAGGAAAGTTCCAACTTCCAGCAGGAATCACAGAAACACTACAATAAATAAACACAGGAAGCTTGCTGTACAGCAAGAACAATGAACATACATGTAGATCATTATCTGATGTAAGTTTAACAAGCTTTATAAAAATAAAAAGTAGCAAAAAGTTCAGTGTTAATAAACATACGCTGCTAAATGAAAAAGTCACATTTGAAAGATGAAAACAATCTTAGAGAATCAAACAGTTTCTTTTCTTGAACCAATGCCGAACATTAGCATTTCATTGTTGGTTGACCTTTTGTCATAATAGCCCGCTGTGAATACATGACCTTATTAGACATTTCCACCTCCTTAAAGCTATGAATCTCAGAGCTAAACATGACTTCAGGTTACAGATGAAGATGGATACAACGCCTAAATCCTTCCCCGTGGCTAATGTTTCTTCATGGGTGAGAAAAACTGCTCCGGGGATACACAGACACACACATGCACAACGCACTAAACTGGGGCTCAATGGGAGCTACGATTGCCATGAGCAGCATTCAGACTTACTTTCTGCATGATGTGGTTGACCCAGGGTGACGTGCAGTTGCTGAGGTCAGGGCCTTGGGGATCCCAGTAGCTCACATGGGCAATGCATACAAATGTAGCCACGCCTGCAAGACAAGCAGCGCAAACAGGGTGAGATGAGCCTGACATTCACCAGGAGACAGGAAGACTTGTGCTGCGTGGCATTTTGAGTTAGCAGTGTTTGATTGTGTGAGGGAGAATTAAATTTACTAAATGTGTTTCTTTTTTTTTAGGTTTTCTGCAAAACTCTGACTCCTCTTCAGCTAATTAAAAAAGACTAATATAGGAGTTCTAGATATTTGTCATTTCTGTGGGTTTGTGCATATTTATGGGCATTTGCACAAACATTTTAGTTGAAAATGATCCCTGCAGTTAGACAGTTTAATTTCTGCTGTACTTGCATGTGTATTTAATTACAGTAAAGGTATTTTTCTATGAAAATGTTTTCGTCTTTGCGAGTGAATCATCCCATGGTTACAAATATTTACTGCAGGCTGGCAAATAGAACAATACAGTTAATAGGAGATTGAGCACCAACGCACAATATTAGAATTTACAGGAAAAAACATCTGTGTGAAGACTGAGTCAGTATTTATTCCTCTTCTCTATTCCTATTTACAGTTTTTTCTGTTTTATTTTATTATTGTTTTTTTTGTTTGTTTTTTGCAAATTAACTACTTTTGCATACTTTGTGCTGTTTTAACCATAAAAATATCCAAATGTTAGACATGATTTGTTGAGTTTACAAAAAAAATAAAAAATCCCATAAAAAATACATCCAGATTGCTTCAGTTCTATCAAAACATTGTTCTCTTTGGCATACTTTATACTTGCATACTTACAAAGTATACTGGCTTTATTTTTGTCATCTTATGGTTATTTTAGATTTTGTCTTCTCTTTTGCTTATTTTATTTTATTTTATTCTTTTGGCTACAGATTGCTACATTTAGGTTTGGACTACTGCTCAGCTAATTTTAGCTTTTTGGTGGTAGAGTACAATTAGTTGAGCTGCTGCCTCTCAGCGAGAAGGTCAATGGTTCAAATCCTGGCCCGAGACCCTTCTGGGTGGAGTTTGCATGTTCTCTCCGTGCATGCATGGGTTTTCTCCGGTTTCCTCCCACAGACCAAAAACATGCATGTTAGGCTGATTGGTAACTCTAAATTGTCTCTAAGTGTGAGTGAGAGAGCGAATGGTTGTTTGTCTCTCTGTGTCCCTGTGATGGACTGGAGACCTGTCCAGGTGTGCCCCACCTCTCACACCGTGATGGCTGGATATGTGCACCAGTGACCTCCGCCACCCGAAAGGAAGAAGCGGGTAAAGATAACGGATAGATAGCTTTTAGCTATTGTGTCGCTAATTTGACTTCTTAGCTATAGTTTGGGTCGTTTTAGTGGCTGCTTTGATAATTTCACATATTTGTTACTGATTAGCTAATTTTAGCTTCAAGCAAGAATTTAACTAATCTTAGCTTTTATCTCTGGTCTTGGTGGTAAGAAATGTTTCCTAATGTTTTGCCTTTAGATACTGTTTAGCTAATTTAGACTTTTTATCGTTCTCCTTACTTTAGCTTGTCTATTAATCCTTTTTGTGCATGTTGTGGCTGTTTCAGCCTTTGTTATGTGCTCTGTTTTAATTGTTTTAACTTTAATAATTCAGTTTCACTTCCAACACATTTCAACATTCAGCTATCACAGCTAAATAAAATGCATTTTTTGCTTGTTTGTTCCATTGTTTTTAAAAGATGCATGTTAAAGTGTAACCGGTCATGTTTGAGCCTGTGTTATGCAGCTTCTGTACCCAGGGTGCCAACCGGGCAGGGCTGCTTGGCTGTCTGGCCCTGCTGTGTCCGTGGCCACGATATGTCAGCTATCACTCTCGGGCTGCAGAAGTCTTGTGGAGGCAGGACAGGAGGCTGCGGAGCCGCTGGAAGAACTTGTACAGGTGGGGATCGTCCCGCTTTTTGATTGGTGTCGGGAATTTGATTAGTGTCCGAAGACGATCCTCCGGCAGGAACCAGGATGGGCTGGCGGACTGTGGTGGTCGTCCTGTAGCGCTGGCCAGGGGAGGTCGTGAGGAGGGGCCTCGGGGTGGTGTAGTAGGGAGGAGAGCGAGTGGTGATGGCGCGGCTGGTTGAAGAAGAGGAGGAACTTCCTCCTCCCACTGAACCACCTCCTGACCCTCCTCGGTTTGGTGGCAGCATGGGAGGTGGGCGGTAATCTGAAGAGAAAGAGGACAGATTATTGTTACTACAGCCTCATTGAGCCTCGAGGACTCATTTACAAGAGAGACCTGATTTAACAAAGAATGATGACAACATGACAACAAGATTGACGTAATTTAGTTAAAGTTATAGATCATTTGTCAAAGACTGCAGCATAAATTGTGACATTATCATTAAAGAAAAACGTGATTGTGGAGATGAGTCCATTTTTTTCATGTTTTCCAGGTAAACCAGAGGAGAATGACTTCATGAACTGAATGTTGCATTCAAAGTATCACAAAGGTACACGATCTCATTTTCTGTCTTCTATTAATCAATAACAGCTGAATCAAGATGTTTGAATAAAATTACTTTAACATCATAACCTTCACAAAGTTGGTATTTACTGCAGGACTGTTCATTTACATTAGTTTTATATTATTAGTTTAGTGTTTGGTAATCATGGGTCAAGTTGAGATGAGACTCTTTCAAGACAGAACAAGAAATAAGAATTATTACAAGAATATATCAGCATCAATAAACTGTAGGACAGTAACAAAACACTTATTAAACTATCACAGGTACATTGAGATGGAGCTGGAAGTTCTTCTTCATGCCAGTTGTCTTCATCTGATCTTTTGTAAAAATATGTCAGAATTTATTTTCCATTAACATTTTTCTTTGCAGGACTGAATTAATTTTCTTGTCTGTGAGTTTCTTTCAGGACAAAAGTCAAAATTAGTTAACCTAATAAAATTAGGTTAAGAAACTTGAAAACACAATTTAAAAAACTGCAATCAGGACATTTTTATTATCCTGATAACTGAAATATTGTGCAGCTTATCATACATGCAGCAAACACAAAAATGTCTGTAAATATATATATATATATATATATATATATATATATATATATATATAAACCTTAACATTTGGTGTGGTTGTAGCTGAGATTCATCAGCAGCACATTTTCCAAGCCACAACAGAGTACGTGATTAACTTTTGGAGTCCTCAACATCGTTCTGTTAGCAAAATAACACATAAACCACTGGATGGATTTCAATTCAACTTTCAGAATAAATTCTCTTCCTCTACAGCTTTAACTGATTAACTTTTGGAGTCAACGTGATTCAAGATGGCCACCACAGCTTATCAGTTTTTGCTACCACAAAAACGAATATAATCCAGTCAGTTTTGTGCACTCTGGCTTACAATTTAGCATGATAAAGGAGGAGTGTCCTTCCTCCTCAGCATATACTTAAATTGCCAACCAATGGGATCTTGCAATGTCACATACAATCATTTTTTAAAATGTGACCAAAGAGGCTTACACATTGTAATTTTTCAAGATATGCATTCCTTTCTGAAATGGTGAGTCGTTAAATATGTAAAGAGCGACTCTACAAACAAAAGTAATTTGGTCCATACACGAACAGGTTTATAAGCATCGATTAAACAGCTCTAAAATGCTGTGACAGTGACTCTCATGATTTTAAAGACTGTCAAATGTTTCTGTTTCATCTCTTGTCACTGCTGTCACACGTCAGATCTTTGGGAGGCTTTTCATGACTTTTGGTTGCGCAACATGTCTTTACTTTCTACAAACAATAATAAAGCAGAAAATCTTAGATGTGTGTGCTAAAATGAGTGACACGCATGATTGATGAATATTGATTGATTATTGAGCATGCATCAGGATATGAGTGACACTCGCTTTCCAGCTGCAATAAATAAACCATCAATCCTAAATAAGCACCATGAATGTTCTTCCTTGAAAAATATTAACAGTTTCTAAGAGACCAGAGGTTCTTGCAGCCTAACATTGCAGATTTTTTTTTGTCACTGTTCTGCATGATTAATGACACAATGACATCACTAGAAGCAGAGAGACTACATAAATGCATATGTCATACCCTACTGTTAATATTTCATCATAAAATGACTTAATTATTCACACTGACTCTGTTTAAGGGGGAAATAGGAAGAAAGACTGGATAAGAGAAAGTAAAGGAAAACTAACAATGGGCATGTTTGTCAAGCTTACACAATATTTTGTTTATTTCTCATATTTTACTGTTTTCTTTTGCAAGTGGGTTTGGTGAAAGGTTTGTGAATATATAATGTCTTACTTGCAGAAGATATCTTCTTAAATTACCCAAATGTAGATAAATAGCATTTATTTTGACTGGATTAACTTGCTAATGGCCAGTTCAAGGTGGTCAGGACTAAAGAAGACAGCTGTTATAATTTAATAACTTCAATATGAAAAATTACTGAGGTTCATGCCAACTTTTTTTAAGTAAACTTTTACATCATTGTCATATTTACATTACGCTGCCATTTAAATTGAATTCTATGGGTAGTGCAACTGTCAACAGCAGCAGCTAGCTGTAGCATTTGACGTGTAACCTGGGGCACTGTCAGCAAGAATACTACAATACTTCTGCTGGAATATTTCATAGAGTATCTATGTCCAAACTTCTGAATAGAACTCGTCTGTTAAAACCAACTTTTCCTGCAAGTTTATAGGAGCAATATAAAGTATAAAGGGGCATTGCCCACCATGGAGAAGGAGGCTGGAAGCTAAGATCAAGGCAACATGGAGCGAAAACAACCAGCTGTCAGACCAACAGAAATGTGCAATGAATAAAGATACTGCAGCATGCCTATACCTGAAGTGCTACAGACTTTCAAACAACACCTGAAAGTTCTGGCTACTCACGTAAAGAGGTACATTCAAGAAGCAGAAGCCAGGAGAATAAACAAAGTATTATCCACCACACTATCCAGAGTGTACTCTCAATGGTAAGGGAACAGGAAACACAAGGGTAGATCCACCTAAAGCGGAGACTGAGCAATACTGGAGAATCATATGGGCTAAGGAGGCATTACAAAATAATTATGCTCCATGGCTAGCTACAAGATCTCAACACAGCAAGCTCTCTGAACAATTGCTAGTGTTCATTAGAGTGGCAGACATCCAAGACAGTCTCAGGAATGAACAGCTAGATGGCACCTGGGATTAACATAGGCCATACCTACTGACTAAAGAAACTAACTGTTCTCCATGAATGCCAAGCAGCACAGATGAACCAGCTGCTAATGGAAGGGTCACACCCAGAGTGGTTGACCCAAGTCAGGATAGACCTGATGATGAAAGAGCCACAAAAGGACCAATACCACCCAACTACTATCATATAAACAATACAGAGGGGTTGAACTACCTGAAGGCAACATTGCAGATGTCCAGGATAGCTACAAGTACTTGGATTTCCACAGGCAAATGACAGTCATGATGAGGCCACAAGAAAGTGAGCAACAACCAAGAACCTACAGAGAATAAGGCAGGTCCTGCAGAGCCAGCTGAACGTCAAGAACAATGTCCAAGCCATCAACATGTATGAAATGCCAATCATCAGATACCCAGCTGGTTTAATTGCCTGGCCATAGAAGGAGACAGAAGCCACTGCCAACAAGACTAGAAACTTCCACAAAATGTATGGAAGGTTTCACCTCAAGTCCAGCACCCTGAGACTATACATTAAGAGAAAAGAGGGAGGCAGAGGACTTGTGAGCATACAAGCCACTATACAGGATGAAACAACAAAGATCCTGGAGTACATCAGGAAGAAAGCTCCAATGATGAACTGTTGAATGAATGTCATTGCAACTGCATGGCGTGAATCATTGGTAGTTTGAGAAAGTGGCTGATATCAATAAATTCTACCATTGGCTAAAGAGGGCAGGACTGAAGGATAGCACAGATACAGTAATAATGGGAGCACAAGAACAGACCCTCAGCCCAACAGCAATAGAGGCCAAGGTCTTCCAGACAAGACCCAAGATGCAGGCTGTGTAAATATGCCCCTGAGGCAGTCCAAAACATATTAGCAGGCTGTAAAATCCATGCAGGCAAAGCAATGGAAAGCAATAACCAAGTGTCTGGAATAATATCCAGGATCATCTGTGCCAAGTATGGACTTGGGGTTCCACAATCAAAGTGGGAGACGCCACCAAGGGTGGTCGATAATGGAAGGCCTAAGATTCTGTGGGACTGCCAGATCCAGACTGACACACAAGTGATTGTTAACCAACCAGACATTGTGGTGGTGAAAAAGCAAGAGAAGTGGGCAGTGGTGATAGATGTAGCAATCCCAAGTGACTGTTACATCAGGAAGAAGGAGCATGAAAATTTTTGAAAAATACCAAGGGCTGAAATAAGAAATACAGAAGTTGTGGAGAGTCAAAGCATAAGTTGTCCCAGTGGTTATTGTAGCACTTGGTGCTGTGACCCACAAACTGAAAGAGTAGCTCCAACTGATCCCAGGAACAAACTCAGAGATCTCTGAAGAGCCAGAAGAGCCCAGTCCTAGGAACAGCAGAGAGGAACAGCACAGAACCCTTAAAGTCCCAGGCCTCTGGTAAAGGACCCGAGTTTGAAGTGAAGTAGAACCATTCACGTGGAAGAGTAGGACAAGCTACAAGTATTTTGTTTATTTATTTTTTAACTGTTGAATCTTGTTGATTCACATAGTTCTTACTAGATCTGCACAATAAAACCAAATGTTATCATTTATCATTTATCATAACAGTATATCCAAGGACTGCTTGAACTGAAATTAGTCACATCATATGACCATTATAATCCAAGTGTCATGCAGTCAAGTTCTGCAGCTAATAACATATTAAGTCAATCCAATGTTCTCTCACTTGCCTTGATGCCCACATCAGGTTTAAATGATAGTGATGATAAAATAGGAAGTGAGGAGTGGGGAAAACATTTATTGCAAATTATATTGTTGTTATAATATTAAATAACATCACACGTTGTTCTAATATTGTGCAGCTCTAGTTTTGACCTTGCTACCATAAGTTAACATTTTTAAACATATTCAGCTGTAATTATGGTAGTTATTTTATGCTAAAAGAAAGGTCATGTAACATTATTGTGTGGGAGTAAGTAGGCAGGACTTAAAGCCCAACACTTGTGCAGATATTGGTTTCAAAAATACAACAT